AATTGGTTAAAATTAAAATTGTCATTTTTAATTTTAACCTATCCTGCCTTTAAAAGTAATACATAAACTGGTTAAAATTAAAATTGGCAATTTTAATTTTAACCAATTTTAACCTCCTTGTTTTTCCAATTTGAAACCTTTAGAGTCATCATGCATGACCTGAATGAATTGTCTACAGAGTTGCCAAGAGCCACTCAAACAAAGGAAATGGATGGGCATCAGCTTCGGCCAAGGAGATCTTGCACCTCCTTTTTGATTCTAGTATTGGACACTAGCGCAATGATTGTGATACCTCGGGTTGAGATCATCAGCTCTCATCATCATTCCAAAGCTGATCATGTGCATCCATGAAGGCTTGAAAAATGATTCTACAGGTCCATCACCACTACATTGATCAATATGGCTTGACAGCTTCAGCCATGCAGAAATGCTCATATCACATATATCATGTTTTTCTTATATTTAAATTTAGTTTATCAAGGAGATCTTGCACCTCCTTAAAGAGTCGCTTGCGCCCATAATCTCGAATAATTTTTCCAGGGAAGCTCAATTGACTCAATCTACATTTGAATCCTCATCGTCTTTGGGTTTTTCGGCTTGCTCTCCAGCATCAAGAGGTGATGTAGGAGAACATGGGGTTACAGCAGGACCTGATCAGGAGGCATGATGATGAACATATTGCACAGTGCATGGTTGACATGAGATAATTTCAAACCCACAGTCACAGAAAACTCCAGCCTGTGTAGATCATTCCTTCATCCAGGAGCTCCAATGGGGTAGCATGCGCAGTAGGTGCAGTAGGTGGTCCTCATGATGCATTGAAACTGAAACAAAGGAGGTGCAAGATCTCCTTATGCCCAAAACAAAAAAATCATCTGAGGAGGTCTTGCACCTCCTTCATAACATGATATATCAAACTATATATGAAACAAAATCATTATCTAAATGATTCAAGTTTCCATAGATTTGAGAAGCTCTCACAGCATAGAGGATTCTCATTCGTCTTCTTGCTTCTTCAATTGAGATGACCCCCATGTCAGCCATGTAAGTGAGTTGGGCTGCTGCACCTCTCACTCCCTCCCCCAGTGGTAGACCTGCATCCAGTGTTGGAAAAAATATATAAATATTCAAAACACAATCTATGTCCAATATGATACATCATAAAACATGTTTGCCACCTTGCAAGAGGGCTACCACAGCTGCCATCTGAGAGGAGGAAGGTCCTCCTTCGCCAGCACCAGGCAACACTTCAGGAGGATCGATAAATTCAGGAGATGCCAAGTCAACAGGAGAACCTGCCAGCACAACTATGCCATGCAGAAGTGAGCAATTGTGATATTAGAAATGGATGCCTCACATACTATGTGTACATATACATGAAAAACACACACACATATATATATTACTGTAATATATATATATCTATCTAACTATCTATTTATCTATCTATCGATCTATATCTACATGACATGTCAAATATGCAGGGCCTTCACCAGGTGGAGCAGCAGCAACTTGCTCATCAGGGCGGCGGCGCTTAGGAGCAGGTTCTTTTCCTGCCAAAGTCAAATGGCTAGATTGTCTGAAGGAGATCTTGCACCTCCTTACTCAACGTACGGCATCAAAATTACACAACATAGCTTTGAAAGCATGCAATTTTCATCCATCAGTCCTGGCTGATTGTATGGTGTAAATCGTCTGGGAAAACGTTGCCTGTCTGCCCACCAATGGTTCAGTTCTCTCTTCTGGCCTCTGTTAGGCTTCCAGCGCTCCTGGTGCTTTTTTCCAACCTTCCATTTAAGGTTGTCATCATATTCCCCCCCCAGGGCTTGGCAGCATCTGCCAATGGTGCGTCTGCCCTGTACACTGATACCTAGGCAGCAGGATGGAGTCCATTCTTTTTTGGCAATATACTATATCTTCAAAACACAGTAGTGCAGATATTTTGAGAAAGGAGATCTTGCACCTCCTTTGTAAAGATGAGAAACCTAAAACATAAATTGCAATGCATTAAAGTGCAATTTATTGAACGCCTGGTTGCAGTGCAGGCTGGGTTCATGCAGCACCCATTTCGCCAATACGCTTCTTCCCCACAAATTGTGCATGTTCTCAAGTAGCTTGTAGAAGGCGAGGTGGCAGGCGCTGGGGTACTTGGTAAGGGCACATTTGGAGGGGGCATTGCAGAAGCACCACCTGGAGGGGCACCTGAAGTAGGTGCTGGAGGAGGTGTATTTGGAGGTGGTAAAGGTTGTGATTGGACATTGACATGAGGTGTCAATGCCTGGATCACCAGGGTCTGTAGCCTGATCAGCTCCAAAACACGGTCAATCTCCTCATCTCCGGGCCTCCTGCGAGAGGAACTTGATTGTCCAGCTCCCATAGCAACAGCAAGAACAAAATTCGAGCACTGAAACAGGAGCTAGAAAGCCAAAGCAGCTTCAGTTGTAAAATCCATTCTCAACACTGCAATTTCCATGCCAAACAATTTCAACATTCCAAATTCCAGACAAAACTTCTCAAATCCAAAATTCCAATCCAACATTAAACATTAAAGCCACATCCTATGAAAGTCTATAAGCCATGTTTGAAATCCACCCAGGCACTAAACGCTCAAGTTCCAAATGTCAGGAGATCTTGCACCTCCTTAAGACAGAAAAGTGGAAAGACTATTTCCTATTTTCCTATAGAGAACTCTCAGGAGATTTTACACCTCCTTGAAACATGCAACAGAAATCAGCAGCAATTTTCTTGCATGTTCATCCAATCTAATCCACATCCTGTCCAACCTTCCACTTTCGAATTTCCTCATTCAAAAATTCAATCACGGATTGTTCAGTAGCACCATTGTGCAAATCAGCAATGCATTTCTTGGCCAAATCCAAGCCAACTTCTCTTGAAATTTTGTTCAAAGTGAAAGATTTGATTTGTTTCTTGTCTCCAAAATTTCGTCTGATACCTAAAGCACCATACTTTCGACTGCCTTTGGCAGGATAATCTTCCAAGCGATATTCAGGAGATGCCAAGTCAACAGAAGCAGGTTCAGGATCAGCAACTGCCACAGCCGGCCGAGCTTCAACATCCTCTTCTTCAGAAGTGCCAAGTGCTGCTTCACATGCAGAAGGCTTTTTCAAGACTGCAGCAGGCCTTTTCAAGACTGCAGCAGGCCTTTTCAAGACTGCAGCAGGCCTTTTCAAGACTGCAGCAGGCCTTTTCAAGACTGCAGCAGGCCTTTTCCCACCTGCAGATTGCCTATAGATCTTCAAAGATTCATTGGGAATTTCAGATTCAAATTTGTTTTCACCAAAAGCAGCAATGGCAAAGCCATTTGGTCCTTCACTCATAGTAGCTTTCTCCACCTTGCTATCCACAAAGCGACATACCACCATGGCAGTAGAATCGATCCAGGTTCCAGCACTCACAGGCTTCTTAGGACTCGCTTGGCTCTCTTCACTCGACACTTCTATCAATTGATGCTCTTGGCTATCCAATGTTTCTGAGCTGTGGCCTGGAGGAAATTTTTGCAAAAGTGGTTCATTCACAGGCAACTGTGGGATGGAGCTCGCATTGGAACTTTGTCTCATGAGCCTTCGCTTGGCAATGGCTTTCTGAACAAACTTGCCTTTCTGCCGGTTCCCATGGAATTCTGAGCACTCCAGATAGATCTTCACAAGCTCACCCATCCAAGGCTCATATTTCTTACTTGAAATTGACCATTTTGCTTTTGTTCTGATGTGTTGCACACATTCGACAATTGCAGAAGACCACTTCTTCGCTTCGTCACTCAAACAGCGAGGGTTGACTTTCAAGGCAGCTTCCTTCAAGCACTCTTTGGATGGTCGAATTGTTTTCTGGAACATCACGCCCAGAAATTTTCGATAATGCTTGCAAACTTGATCAATTTCAACATCCAAGTACTTCTCGGGATCCAAACAAGCCACCTCTGCTTTCAAACATTTGCAAAGGTCTTGAACAGAAGCAGTGTTCTTAGCTCTAGTCATCTTGAGAAATCAACTGCAGATGCGATGCACAAACATTACATGCAGGAAATCAAAACACCAAAAGGAGATCTTGCATCTACTTGAAGCAACCTCCAAAGGTCGGTCTTGATGCAATGATGCTGTGAAAGATGTATCTAAAAACAGTGAAAAAAAATCCTCCTTAAAAAAAAAATAAGGAGGAAATTTCAAAAAAAAACACCTTAATTAAGGAGAATTCCTCCTTAATTAAGGTGGAATTCCTGAATTAAGGAAAAATTCCTCCTTAATTAAGGGAATTCCTCCTTAATTAAGGGAATTCCTCCTTAATTAAGGTGGAATTCCTTTAAAAAAAACTCCTTAAATTAAATAAGGAGGAATGGAAGTTCTGGGAAGCGCGCAGCATGTGGAAACTGTCCCAACTAGCATGTGCGCGCCGACAGTGTGCGCGCAGCGACACGCGCACATGCGCGCACATACGCGCACATACTGGACGCGCTGCCATTCTTGCGCACATGCGCGCAACAAACACGCGCGCAGCCAAAGTGCACAATCCTTCACCATGAAGCTTTACTAATATTGACCAATTAATGGTGCCAAACCTTGCCAGGCAATGAATTCCAAATCTGGAAACATTGGAAGCAAGACAAAACTAGCACATGCGCGCGGACAGTGTGCGCGCAGGGACACTCGCACGTGCGCACACATACTGGACACGCTGACATTCCTGGGCACATGCGCGCGAATAGCGTGCGTGCAGCAGATTGCAGCAGATCATTGCAAAATATGCAAAGATGAGCAATTTACATGTTGATCCCATCTTCCCTCACCAGCATTAAATCTTGCGGATGCCCTACCGAAAAGGTTGGCCAATGCACCTGGCACAACCAGAACGATACCCAATCCATTCTCAGTGTCACGGAGACGTGCCTACAGTTCAACTAGATAATTCATCATGCAGCTTGTATGCTGAGATATTTCTGAAAGAGTTCATGCTGCAAGCAGCTTTTTCTCCCCATGCGGTCGCATTCAGTCCGAATGCACGCCCTTCTTCAGTATGGTGAGTCTTCTCACCCGAGGCTTCTGCGGCGATGGCAGTGCACTTTGTGCAACCTCACGTTTGATCACCTTTTCCACCCGGGGCTTCTTCTGCGGCGATGGCAGTGCACTTTGTGCAACCTCACGTTTGATCACTTTTTCCACCCGGGGCTTCTTCTGCGGCGATGTGACTTCTGCAGCTGGACTTCGGCAGCTGGCTTTGGCATTCCATTTTGTTCTGCTTTCTCACCATCACGCTGCTTCTTCTTTTCACTCCAGGCGGCCCAGTTACTTTTTCCGGTCTTCCTTTTTGGAGGAGTTTTGTCTTGTTCCTTCAGGATTTCATTCCACAGCCTGGTGCTGATCATGCGGACCTCTTTGGCATCATTGAGGTGCTCCCCCAATACGGCGACCACTAGTTTTGTGAACTTTGCCTTGTCCAGGCCCCTTTCCATATTTTCCATGGCTGAATCGAATCAGCAGGAATAAACTCCGTACATGATGGGATTGAAATTGGATGCATCATGTCTGATCCCGTCTCGCCTGTGATTCCTGTCATTAGATAATTTGCTTTGATATAGGTAAATCTGTTGATAGATGTTTGAGCATGTCTGGAGCCAGGCTGTCCATGAGAATCAATGGCCAGAAATCAGTAGAATGATGCGCCGCTTCACGGCACCTGATGAATTGATGGTATCCAGGCTCTCCAAGCATGAGCGACAAATGTTAGATGTACAATGTTCAGCACATCGAATGCAGTCTTGGATCTCAACCTAGATCATGCTGCTGATCTAAAGAACACTACTTTACTTCGAGTGATCCCCACCCCGAGGCATAAATTCTGACATTGAATGGTCATTTGGAATGATATATTATGATATGACATATATATATATATTAAAACATATATCTATATATATTTGTATATATATATATTCTGTCATTCTATTTGAAATTCTATCTCGCATTCTTTCTGGCATTCTATCTGACATATATTTTGCCATTCTACATATTCTACCTGATATATTTTCTGACATTCTATCTGACACATCATCTGACATTCTATCTGGCATCCTATCTGACTGGGATATGGCGCTCGCAGTTGGGGTCCGGCAGTGCCCACTGAGCTCTGGAGCTCGCAGTTGAGGTCCGGCAGTGTCCGCTGCGCTTCGGGTCTCGCGATTCGGGTCCGGGAGTACCCATTGAGATCTGGAGCTCGCAATTACGTCCGGCAGTGCCCACTGAGATCTGGAGGTGGGGGATGGCGAGGAGAAGAAGAAGGAGGAAGGAAGCAGCAGGTCAGCTCCTTGATAAAATCTAGTAGCCATCACTTGCAATCTGAATCTGCGGAATCATGGCACTTGCTGTACTATCAGTCGGAGGTTGCTGTACTATCATGGCACATCCACCCTTCCCCGAGGTGAGAGAGAACTACCAATACACACAAAGATATATAATAGACATACACAATTTGAGGCGATGCACCTTGTGAAGAAAAATCAAATCATTGCAAAAAAAATGGCAAAATCAGACAAAATGGTGGCTGAATGGCGTTTTTGGCATCTTGGGTGAAGCAGGGGACCCCTGGAAAAAGATCAACTTTCTTTTACACCAGCCAAAGGGGCAAACGATATTTCTTTCAAACAGGCAGGACCACGCCTCGTTCCGAAACCACCACTGGTCAGAGAATAGAATGAGCCAGCAGATTGCCTTAGATATATATATATATGTATATATATATATATTTATATGTATATATATATATTTATTTATGTATTTATATATATATGTATTTATTTATATATATATTTATATTTATATGCGGACATGTTTATTCTATTTTATGGAGATCCAACGTCACAGCTAATACCCAACGGTGATATCATAATCATCACACTTTATCGCACTTTATCGGACCGCACCTTGGTAGTGTTTACGACCAAGGCACCCAACCAACTCGCTTAATGCTGCAAGCGGTGTCCATCGAACTGTACTGGTGCCAAGGTCTTCAAACTGGCTGGGGTGGTGTATTGCCCTCCCTGCCTTTCCATGACCAACCTATCAAGCTGCTCAAGTCGTTCCCGAGGCCATGGTAGCCTATAACACACCACCCAAAACGGAACCAAGCATGAATCCGGTCTCTTGACTGAGCCACCAACACAAAAACCATTAGACTTCCAATATGCTCTCAACAAGGTCAAGAAGACAACCACTCGGGATCCCCACGGCTTGACAGCTTGGGTTGGTGCTTCGTGTGCAGCTGAGTACCATTTTTGTTTGTGGACAAAGGGACCCTCACAACCAGTAGTAGCAGCAAAGTCCAAAAACAATTGAAAGCCAGCCACATTTCTGGCACCTGCACTGCTTTGCAGTGCAGGCCCTCCCACCTGCGTCCACCATGCATGAACTGCATTGATGTTCACGTCTCCATATCTTCGACGGAGTTTTTCACTGACGGCCCACTCAGAGATCACGGGCAGTGGCGGGTCACTGATAGCTGAGTCCTCCACTGCTGCTCTGCGTGCCTTGACAGCTTCTGATGGCTTTTGTTGCGCAACCTTCCAAGCAATACGGATAGCAGTGGTCCAGATTCCCTTTTCAACATGTCTCTGCTGCTGAAGAGCGCGGGAGGCATTGTCCCACAACGTCCAGAATTCCCCACTGCGCCGCATGTTGATACCAGCTGCCGCATTGTCAACCAAAGCGTTGTGCCAGTATGCCCATTGTTGTAGCGCATTATCTGCCTGCGCTGCAGCTCCATGTGAGACTACCTTGGTGATAGAGATGACTCCATCCGTCACCTCTTGCATCATAGCTTCCAGCTTTTTCCAGAGATCTGAATGCGGAGCATTAGGACGAACTGCATCTCGCCTCAAAAGTTTACGAATACCTCTGACGACACTTAAGCAGTCACACCAAAGTCGAACCCGCTTCTTCCGTTGAACCGCCCACTGCACCGCTTCAACTGCAGCTGTCAGCTCTGCCCGAATAGCAGATTGCAACAATCCAGTGAGATGACCCCCCAACACTACTACACTTTCCAGTGATGACGTTCCAGTTCCCGCCTGACACACCGCCCAGGCGGCAAATCGCAAGTGCTTATCCTTAGGTAGTCGGCACGTCCCATCCAAAAACAGATGAATTTCCGGATCATGCGCAGCATACCTAGGTGAACCTGCGGCGTGAACAACGGTCAACGGCTGCTCGGGCAAGTGAATGAGATGATGATGAAGCGAATGAACGGATGCTGGAATCAGGGGCCAACCATGTAAACGGGTGCACACCGGAAGCTCAGCTATGGTGTCGTGATCCTGCTCAGTAAGGTGAGTACGGCAATCTCGAAAATGGGGACAGTTCCACATGCGATGTTCGAATCCATCTGGTTGCTGGCAAAACACACATTCCCCTTTGATCTCAGCCTGGAAATGAGCACGTGCACGCTGCGTGAAGAGTGTACCATCTAGCATACATCGGATGAATGCTTGGTCTGCTTCCCCATAGGTTTTGACTTTATCTTGTACTTCTTGGATATCTGCTGCGTCCAAACCTTTGAAAGTGGGGCGGTGCGAAACCGCCTGGGCAAGGACACCTGACCATGCAACACTGAGGCGAGCCACAATTTCTTGCCAAGGTGCATGCAAAATACTAAAGGCACCATACCTGTCACTGACGATTCCATTTGGATGCACTTCCCACCCAAGTCTGACAAGGCGGCCTCGAAGTGCAGCAACTGGTCCATTGCGTGGCATCTCTGCTGGTGCTGACGCAAACAACCCAAGGAAGGCCTCTAGGAGGTGTCTGTCTGGATATTCACGGGCATCTTTGATTGTCTGGAGTATGGACCAAACTTCGGGGTCGCTCACAAGGCTCTGGGTACACAAGTGAAGCATAGGGTTTGCCCCAATTCTGTTTGACCTCAAACCTTTCATAGCCCCAGACCTCAAGTCTCGAAAATGCTGATCTCCTACAGCGACAACCGAAACCCCATGTAACGCCCGAGGCCATGCCAGGATTTTGAGGGCCATGGCTTTCAACTTGTATGGGCTCAGACAAGCTCTGAGTGCCGACCAGGTCTTCGTCATACCCCTGATGCGCTGTAGCAATGTGCTGTTGCTAAAGCGGCGGCAGAAATTCTGATGAGCACCCAATGAGCGGGCACCCAACTTGACTGGCACTGGTCCTTGTCTATACTGTGCACGGGCACTGGCCTCAAGGCTCCAAGCATGAGTTTTACCTAAGTCGATGTCGACATCTATCATGCTGGCGAAATCTTGGATTGCGGTCCATAGCGGTATCATGAGTTCCGCTGTATGAAACTGAACCTGCCAATCATCAACGAAGGTTTTAAGCCTGAATTGCCCATGAACATTGGAAAGCCATAAGTCGAGCAACCAGTCCACAAGGACCATTGCAAAGACGGACAAGCCACATCCCTCAGGAAATCCACTGCATGAGTAAAGGGGTTTGCCCAGTGACTGCCTCACTCTAAACCGCCTGGTTTGTTTGGAGATGATGGCCACCCATGTGCATAACAATGGTCGTGGAAAGCCAAGGTGCAAGAGTGTGGACCACAACGGGAGGCGAGGCAAAGCATTAAAGGCTTTTCGTATGTCTAGGATCAACCCATGCAAAGGCAGGTTGCTGGCATTTGCAAAGTCCAAGTGCAAAGCCAGCGTGTGCCAAATCCCCTTGGAATGTCGTCCTGGAACACCCCCTTTGACAGCGGAAGGCAAGGTGGAGCTGATACTTTGCAAGGCTTGGCGTGCTCGACAAGATGACCATACACGATACAACAATGGATACACTGTGATGGGACGAAAATGATCAGCCATCCCTTGATGCACTGTTTTAGCTAAACTGCGGACCTCCCCTGTCTGCAGTTGTGCTGGGGCCACTCATGTGTCTGTTCAATGGTTGCATAAATTCCACTGATTGCATTGCATCCCTGTGGTGGGAGAGCTAAACAGTCCGAGCGGCTGACTCCATCCAAGCCTTTGGCTGCTCTGGCTTTCTTTTGGCGGAACATGGCCTGAACTTTGTCTGAAGTCCAGTCATCAAAATTCCATGCAACTGGCTTCAGCACCTGCTTTGCGAATCGAAGGATCTGAGCCCACTGTCCTTCAACAACATGGCTCATCTTTGCCCACCTGGGTCTCCAAGTGTTCTCTAGTGCCTCCATGAGCTCACTATCAGTGGCCACCAACCTCTCCTGTGTGATCACCGTATTACCTGGTTCGATGGAATCAACAGAATCTAGCCACAACATGTCTGAATCCTGGTGGACCACGGAACGATGGGATCCTTGGGCTACAACCGGAAGTGCCTCATCAAATGAGGCAGCAGCGGTGAGGACAACCGCTTGTTCCTCTGCTCGCACCTCTTCAACTTCAGCTTGGACAAACCCAATCATTGTTTCAACCGATGCTGGAGCTTCACCTTTACAATCACTGAAGACATACCGGAGTTCATGCGTTCGCCTCTGTTTTGCCTGTGTTCTGCGTTGGGAAGCGAGCCTGACCTCAAAGTCCTTGACAACTTGATGGAAAGTCTGAAACATAGCTTGCACAGTGTCTGCACTAGGGCAGTGCAGCACCTCTCCAGGTGGCAGCTCTGGTTTCAGCTGCTGGACTTCCCACCATTTCACGAAGCCGCCAGGGAAACCTGGGGCTCTGCGAATGCTTCTCCATGTTTCACCCAATGCCGCCCTGCTCAGATCAGTGGTCTGAGTTCTGGAGCTCTGCAGCACTTGCTTCAATGCCTGAATTCTGCGAAGCTGTTTGAACCACCGATTGTGCTGCAGTGACAACCCATGAAACTTTGGCTGAACTTCTCCATACCTACCCAATTTACCTGGTGGCACCCGCCTGGTCTTGCATGTCGTCTGCAATGTTGTTCCCCGGCCACGCTGCTGAGGTGTTGCGATTGGTGCTTGGTTGGCTTGGTTGTGCAAGACTGCTTGGTGTTCAAGCTCAAACCACATTTTTGCATAAGCTTTTGTAGGGTCACAACTTCGATCAAACTCAACCTGGCATGTCCAATGATCTGGCCACGGCAAGGCCATGGGCATTCTCCAGTGCTCAATGGGTGCCTGAAGCTGGTCTTTGTGGAACGTGGCAATCACTGCTGCATGGTCGGCCCACAAGTCCCTTCGAACCTCCACTTGCTTGAAGCACATTTGACGCTCTGGTGATATCCACAAATGGTCAATCCTCCTCCTTCCTTTACCTGTAGCTTGGACCTCATGTTGTCCCATGTGACATGCAAGATCCTGCACTTCTCGGAATCCCATGTCATGCAACCTTCGAAGTTGAGTGAGCTCATGAGAATCGAAGTTGAAGTCTCCACCGATTGCACGAGGTCCTACGGTTTGGCATGCAATCCTGTCAACCAGCTGCTCAAGCAAAAGATCTGTATTATATTTCGGTGCAGCATGTGATGCTCCAACCGGGTACCCGTACATCATGCCCAGTTGCACCCATGCATCCCCCAACAGAACTCCTGCAACTTGTATCCTTGCTGTCTCAACGAGGGTGGGCTGCATTTGGTGAGGCAATGCTCGTGCTGGCTCAGATGACAACAGCATGACTCCTGAGTAATCCCCTACATCCCTTTCTGCTGGCCCTGTGCATGGTGCTCCTGCTACGGAATACTTGAAATGGGATTGCAAGCATTGCAGTCCTCGGCGAAACTTGTGCACCCCTCGGGAAGTGAGGTGGGTTTCACTAATGATCCATGCTGTGCCTGCATTGTTTGCGAACATGTCTGTTTTTCCATGCAACCCGGATGGATTGCAAACACCCAGAGTCCAATCAGGTCCCGGATTGTGTGCCTCTCCGATAGGGAAGAGACAAAGCTATAGCATGAAGCCTAGGTGGCTTCCACATTTCCAATGATGTCCTTTGTCGGGTTTACCCAACCTGCGATCTGACGACAAAACTTGTGGTTCTTGGACAGAACCTGCACCCAACACACCAACAAACTCCCCTAGTTGGAAAAGGAGTGCAACCCCAAATGACCATGCTACCTGGGCAATGATCAACCCCAAAATCATAACACTGCTCAAAATGGCTCCATGTTGGGAGCCTTCCCCTGTAACATCCCAATCCCTGTGGGAAGGCAACACAGAGACTGGGCACCTTCATTCACGATGCCCGTGGCGAGCCAACATTGCCTCGAACTGATGCATCTGCCGACCCAGCATGCCATCTAACTGTTGTTGCTGGTGTGCAACCTGCTGCTGAAACTGCTCCTGAAATGCTTCTTGGAAACTGGTAATCTGTGCTGTGTTGCTTTCAACGGCTTGTCCCAACTTGTGGATCTGCTGGGTGTGCTCAACGTGTTGTGCCTGGACAACCTGTGACAATGACTGCTGTTGCTGTTGCATTTCCTGCATCTGGGCTTCCAAGGTGGCAATTCGGCTGTCGCGGCTTGGATCATCATCAATCTCCATGTCATGTGAAGGCAGTTTCGACATAACAGCCTCAGTCACTCTCTGTTCAAGGTCTGCGATGGGATCTCCCAGATGAAACTGCTGGGTGGTGACCTTTTTGGTGGCCCACGGGTCTTGGATCTGCAATGGGTCGACGGATGCTTTGGCAGCTGCACACAGGGAAACTGTACTACGGACACCTACCACCTGTGGCCCTGCTGGCATTGCTGGTGTATTGGCATCTTCCGCTGTGATCAACACATCCCCATGCTGCATGTGAATGACCTTACGTGGTGGTGCTTCAGTGGCTTGCACTCGGAACATCAAGCCTTGGACATGTGCACCTGCTGCGATTGGCTGTGTGGGGCGTGCTGTCCAGCCAATACTGGCAAGCGCTTCAGCCACTGATTCCTTGAGGGATCCATACTGGAAGGGTCCAACCAAATATGTTTTCTTGGGTCCTGGTGGCAAGAACACGTGTCCCGGGCGCACTCTTTTGAAGAGCTCTGCTGCATCATGGGCCTTGCACCGCAATCCATATTTCATGCCCAACCTGGGCAACCCAATGACACTCGGCAATGTTTGTTGCTGGATTCTTGCCTGCTGCCAATCTGCTCTCGGGATCCAAACCACCTGAAAGTCCAAGGACGGTTTGCGACCATCTACAGCTTTGGGCTCAATGTAGATGCCCTGGAGGCCTGAGTAGGTCTGAATCTGAATTTTGAGGCAGGAAGGGATTCTGATATTCACTGCAAACACCTCAGCTTGGGCTGGAGCAGTAGCAGAGAAGTTCACCGTCATCCATTGTCGGCCCCAGAGTTCAAGCACTGGATGTTGCAGCGGAGCATTAGGAGCTGTGTGCCATTCTTCACAACCTGTGCATTGTGGATCTTGACATGCCCTCAACACTGGAATCCTATCGAAGATATGCTTCAACGGGTGCTGACACACTTGGCTCCAATCTCCTTCCACCTGGTCCCTGAACACCATCACTTTGATTACACTGGAATCAACTGCTCGAATGGTCATGGCCGTGGCTTCAACTGCTCTTGTAGCCTTCGATGCTCCCATCTGGTATACACAAGCATCCACCAGCATTGGCTCGGAGTTAGCTGCACAGAGCAACGGGATTCTCATTCCTTCACCTGGTGGATCTTGCGGGGCTGGCTGGGCTCGGTCAATCACCAAAATTGCCAATGGTCCTGTCGACAACGTCCGACCTGCATGAAGGTATGGTTTTGCCATTGCATGGGTGGCAATGATGACCCCAGAGCTACGGGCATTGAAGTGGGCCATGTCAACCTGTGGCAACGGTTGTCCTTGCTCATCCACAAAAATTCCTGTTTCATACGCACCGATGCTGGGTCAATGCTTGTTGGTGACCTTGCTGCATGGTTCTCGCCTTTCTGTTTATGTTTCTTGTGGCCAACTTCCTGCGGTTTTCGTTTGGCAATGACCTGCTGCAGTTCCGACGGCAACACCAATTGAACCATGGGCGATTCTGCATTGGCTAAACTCTTGATTTCTTGCCATGGCCTCACGCTTCCAATGGCCTTGCGGACCGCCTGAACTCCAAGGCGCTCAATGGCCATTTTTGCCCTAGCTTCTACCTCTTCGGACGGAACTCCATGAGCCTTGAGAAGCACTGACAATTCTAGCATAGGATCTGTTTCTCCCCATGCCCACACATATGGTTTGGGTGTCATTTCTGCCATGCCCTGTTCAAACTGCATCTTCATCTTCATGCCATACTGATCAAGGGTATCGCTGTCACTGGGCATTGGAACGCAGCACAACAGCATCCTGGCATATGCAATGGCCATGGCGCCACAATGTCTGCTGACGGCAAAGCTTGAATGCTGAAACTGAACCTTTTTCTGCACAACACCTGCTGCTTCACAAAACACTCGGTGCATGGTTGGAATTCATGGCAATCCACTGGATCAACCCCAAACACAAACATGTACCCCTCACCGTTTTCAACTCGGGCAACCACTGGTATCCAATGCTCCTGGCGTGCAATTGCGGTGATCACTGTGGCCAACTGCGGCAGTGTGCGTGCTTGACAACCCAAGTCTGCAAACTCTTTGGCATGAAACATGGCGGATACCCAAAGCGGATTCCAAACAACTGCACCTTGATCTGCGGCTTGCGCCGCAACAGTCTGGAGACCCCACTGAACCTCATCATCTGCCCATGCAGTGGCTTGTAACTGACTCATCTTGATTCGCTCTTCACGAGCGATGCACTGCTGGCAACATGTGTGAATGTGCTGCATCGAATATGGCTTGTCAACTTCATCTCTGGGGCATGGCATACTGACAACTTTGTTGTGGTTCCCTTGTTCGCTGTCATCATTCCCTGGCTCTGGACATGGACATGGAAGGGGAGCCGCATCTTCCAAGTCCTGCAACTGACTTTCTGTTGGGATGTCTCCAACAACATCGATCTGCATGTCGGCAACAAGGGGCTGATCTTCTGGCAACACCTCGTTGTTCTGTGTCAAGACAAAGGCCATGGCTGGAACTCCCTGGAGTTTTGCTTCAGCTTGCATGAGCTGTTCAACCGTGGCACCTGGTTGCATCCTGACCTCGACATCAGCTCCTGGTCCATAGTGGAGGGTCACGACAAACGACTGGTCCTGTTCCAAACAATTTTCAATGGGGTCATCCTGGACACCCTCGGGTGTGGGTGATCCCTCTGCAACCGAAACCCCTGGCCACATCTTGGATGCCTCTTGCCGAGTGTTCTGAAGGTATTCACTGAGGACCCTGGATGGGTCCCATGGGCTCATCTTACCACAGACTTGGTCCAGGCTCCTGACGACATGTGCAAGCACCCACAACCCCACAATCGGCGACACACTTTGCCCTATGCCTGCCAGCGCCAACCTCAGGTTATACCCAAAGGATTGTTTTGGTGAACCCCCATTGAGTGTCCAAGCTTCGGTAGGATGGAGGAACCTCCAGTGACGAAGGATACGGTCACCATGCTTCTGAGTCTCTGGAAGCGGCACAATTGTTGCAACCAAACCCTGTGCCTGGATGCGTTTTTCGGAAAAGGCTTTTCGGCAGCCACATGCACATGGAAAGGCCTGGTTGCCTGCAGAATGCATGCATGTGGGCAGTTTGCTTTGCAAGTTGATAAACAAGGCCTCGACCCCCCCCTTTGCATAGAGGTGGAACTTGGAAAGTTCATACAACCCCATTGTGAGTTGCTGCATGACTGCTGGGCACAAGTGCGGGCCCAGGTATTCCCCAGATCAAACATCCGTGGACTTGGACTGTTTCGCCACGAGGTCTGACGTTGTTCCATATGTGCCTTGGATCAGTGCCAGGTCCGTGAAGGCAACAAGAACGGAAACAAAACACTCGTCCCAAAAAGGGAAGCCAACAAATGACACAGAACTTTTTTTTTAGACCATCATCAGTGTTACAATAATGTTTCTGTTACCAGCGCTGTTTGAAGATGTGCAATATGTTCATTTCGTTTTTTTCCCCAGCGTGTTGAGCATGCCAAGCCATCGCTTTATTGCGTGCTGTTCTAATGAAAGCCTGGATGGTACTTTGACTCTCCACTTGTCGACAGACATGGAACCATATTGTGCAATTCACCAGGCAATGTAGTTTCGTAGAGTTCCTAAGATTAGCCACACATTATTCAGGTGTAGGTTTACCAAAGCAGTAGGAGAGCAGCCCAGAGTTAAATCTCATGTAACAAAGTTGGAGCCTGACACTTGTTTTTTTCGTGAGCCCTGAGGATCCCCTTGCACCTCCACATTCCATGGCTGCAGTCAGACACTCAGAATACTGGTTCAAACTATCAATTACATGGTGCGGATGCTGATCAGAAGATTCAATTAGATGAATCAGTGGGCAATGAATGACAGCACAAAATTGGCAAACTACTCAATGTGTAACCACCAAATCTGGACCCTGCTTTTGTCTCCCATTTCAGACTGGATTTCTTGGTCAGGTCCAGCTTTCGCTGCTGCCGACCCATTGACCCCGGTATTTGCCAAAATGGGGGAAGCCATTGAGGTTTATGATACTCATTGTAAAGGACCTCCATAGGGAATCATTTGTAAGGACACAAGAAATATTGACTATGCCTCACATGAGTTCCTTCTGCCTGAGACCCCCAGTGGAAAGCATGAACTTCGGTTTTCAGATTTCCCAAGAGTTTACTTCAGCTGGGGGACTTCGGTTTTCAGATTTCCCAAGAGTTTACTTCAGCTGGGGGATAGGATTTAGGGGTGATGACCATCCCTTAGCAATAGTGAAAGACCAGTAAATATTTTTGCGTTTGGCACTGTGCACATGCAAGCAGCATGGACCCCTGCAGGATGACACGCACAACTATGTGCTCTGACACTTTTTCATGGCTCAAGAAATAGGAGCTGTCGTCATTGGGCAGGTGTCTTGGGGACCTAAAGGGTTGCTCTAGCACTTAAGACCCATACCCGAAGCCCCCGTTCGTAACCGCAGGTTATGAGCCCAAAGAGGTTCTGAAGCCATCTCTCTGATGCAACGCCGACGAGCAGCTGATGAGGTCGATGGTGGAGGAGATGCAGCAGATGAAAGGACTGCTGACCAAATGATGGCTGACCTGATGGAGGACCTGAACAACTCCTCATCAGGAACCACCGCAGTGAGGTCAGTGCGGGTGTTGGAAGGAAGTGCGCAAGCCCAACCTGAAGGTGGAGCCCAAGAGGTGGTCGTGGCTGGAGCTGGTGGCCCACAGCCAGGTCATAATGGGGGAGCGCAAGGTGTGATGGAGGGTTTGTCACCAGACCAACAGGCCGTGCTTCGACAAGCTGCTGAAGTCCTGAGGACTGGGGTGCAGCTGCAGTGGCAAGCTGCTCCGCCGGCTGCTCTGGTGGATGCAGGAAGGCGACCTGAACATCTTCCAGGGGGCCAACAACAAGCTGAACGAGCTGGAGGCATGGATCCAGGTGAAGGCCAACGAGGCGATCAAAGAGCTCAAGGGGTTGGTGACGGAGGTCTATCGGGTCCTCTTGCACTTCCTGCCGGCGGCTTGGAGCCATTGGTGCTTCGACCTGAAGGTCTACCCCCTGCTCCACAAGGAGATCCTGTGGTTTTGGGTCCTGCTGGACCGCATGGAGGTGCTGAACAACAAGGGCATCCTTCTGCACTGGTGCAACGTGCTGGACATCAACCTGGCTCTGGTCAACTTCTTCGGCATCCTTCTGATCCTCATGGGGTACAAGCCGTGATGAGGACACCAGATGGTGTTGGGGCTGAACGGAATCCGTTTTGGAGCGATCGGGCTATGGCTGGAGGTGACCAACATGCTGCCAGTGGACCACATGGCGAAGGCGCCCAACGAGCTCTGTCATCAGGACGGGTGAAAACAGCTGATGGTTTAACCCACAAAGACCTGTTGGATTTAGAGGCTCTTAGGGTTCAGGGTTTTAAAGAAGTTGAAGCCCAAATTCAAAGGGACATGGAAAAACGTAAAGGGGAAAATAGCGGTAGTGGCTCATTCCAAAGTGTTTTGGGGGAAGTAGGTGTAGTTCAGGGTTCAAAAACCCCTGTGGATCCGGCTCTTGGCCATTTGGTGACTCCTCCGGGTCTTCCTGGCCTTCCTGGTCCAGCTGTGCCTGCATCGGTCACGCCTGCGCCTGTGGTGAGCGTTGGCGAGAACCTCAATGAGAACCTGAGGAACTTGGAGCTGCCAAAGCTGTCCCCTGACAGCACTTCGGTGGACTTTGGTGACTGGCTTGCCATTGTGGGTCCGTTTATGTCGGATCTGAGTGGAACGAGCAGTCAATGGTGGGCTCTGGTGTTGGACGCTGCGGCCAAGACCTATGCAGCGTGGGTGACATCAACGCCACTCCAAAGGTTGCGCCTGAAGGTGGTGTCTCCGAATGAATTGGCGAAATGGCCAAGGACTGAGCAGAGGGCTGTGACCATGTTGTTGGCTGCTGTCCCGGACCCGATTCGGCGCGAACTGATCTCGTCCAGGAAGCTGCAAAGCGTGGAGATCCTCTATGCCCTTCTGTGTCGTTTTCAACCAGGTGGAGTTCATGAAAAAACGAGCTTGCTGAAGGACCTCACGGAGAATCGATTGGGTGCCAATGCGAACATCCACGAGCTCTTGCAGACCTTGCGGGTGTGGCGACGGAATTTGGGAAGATCAGCTGAGCTGGGAATTCAACTTCCGGATCCACTCATCTTGGTTGGAGTTCTTGGACGGTGGTCGGACCATCTTGGACGCCTTGGAGGACCTCAGACGGTTTACCGAATGTCGTCGCTTCGACAAGACTTGCAGTTGGACTTCATCCCAACGAATGTCAAGGTTGCTGACTTTGCGGAGGCGTTGCAGGCCGAAGCTGAGCAGTTGTCACGGATGAGCGCTTCACCGACTTCTACCACGACTGCATCACTTCAGGACACCAAAAGAAGGAGCAGATCAAGGCTGCTGCTCTACGGTCTGAAGGGTCTCCTACCCTATAGGTCAGGAAAGGTTATTTGGAGCAAAATAGGTAACTCTAAAAAAATTACCTTTTTGAAGATAATTTTGGTCGATTTTTTAAAACTATATTAGTTAAAAAATACATTTGAAGGTAATTATTGAGAACCTTTTTCAAGGTAATTTTTAAGGGTTATTTTTTTCACTTCGTTTTTACATATATATTTATTTATTTTCTTTTGTTATATGGTATGTGTCTGATGTTCTCTTGGGGTTACTATATACGTGCTGCTGACATATGTGCATGGGTTTATTTCATGTATTTTGACAGGGTCTCATGTTTTTCCCTTGGCACTTGGATTGGATCAAATGATTTGATCATGGGTAGTGTTTGTGTCACTGACAAAATTTATGAAACAACAGCATGGCAAAAATGAGGAAAAGTCAGAAAAGGCATGAAACAAGATTATGGCAATAATGAACCAGTCATACTTGGCAATGAAGCATTGTCCAAGCATGCATTCTGCTTTGAAAGCTCAGTGAGGGCATCCTTCAAAGTATCATTGATTTTTGGTCTTTCTTGTCTCTACCCAGTGGCTCCTGAACCACTTTGGTTTCTTTGATGTCATGCTGCAGACTTGCCCTGCTCAGTTTCACAGGAGCATCACAAATCGATTTTGGCAATGCTGAGGATGAAGTAACCACAGCTGGTGTAGAGGAAGCACTGCTACCACTACCACAACCACCACTACCACTACCACCACAACTAGCTCCAGTGCCAAGCTGGCTCCAGGGCCTGCTCGACATGAATTGACTCACCTGCGAACTCTCATCCTTGGTGCGGTTGGCTTGGCCACCATGCAAGACCATGGCAGGGCACAATGGCTGTGGCTATTGTCTTGACATGATAGTAACCATCTTTCTGATAGACATCACCTCGTCTTTGTGCATCATTCAAAGCTTGCTGGTTTCCCTGGATTTGGTCCACAACCTAAGCCAACCCAGTAATCTGAGATTTGCTGCAAATCTCAGAGTTCTTCTTGAAAACTTCGAACACTGGGTATTTCCAGGAGCAAACACAGACTCGCCTCTGGTGTTCAAGAGAATTCTTGGAGCCCTCTTCTTCATAGAGCTGCTGAAGATCTTCTGGCACCTGGCCACTTTTGATCATTCTGGCACATTTCCTTACCTTGGGATAGCTTCGATGCTCATCATCAGCAACTGTTGCATCCTCCTCTTTAGGCTCCTCATCTTCTCCTTCTGCATGGTCATCAGGAACTGGCTCATCCCTGGTCTTCTTCCATCCTGCTGCCATCTCCTTGACAGTCTTCGCTTTGGCCTTGGCTTTCGCCTTCAGCTGCATCAGGTCTTGTCAGGATTTTCTTCATTGTGCTCTTGGCTTTTGCCTTTTGAGCTTTCATTGGCGAAGAAGTAACCCCAGGAGCTTTGCTGGCAGCAGCCTTGGCTTTACCTGCTGCCTTTGCCTTGACTTTAGATTTTGCTTTCACCTAGGCTTTGGCCTTTGCCTTTGGTGCTGCAGTATCTAAGAATCTAAGTCAGCTCATGGGGCAGTTTCTTCTGGAGAAGCCTGTTCTACAGATTCTGGTGCTGGTTCAGGTGGAGGCAACATGCAAGCATAGCATCAGGTGGACAAGCAGGCCTCTTCATGAGGTTACCAACAGGGGCGACAAGTGACAAGTAACTTCAATCTTGAGCACCAGTGTGCTACACAGATGGTATATGCAATTGGGGATGTCTCAAAATAGGGGGCCCCAAGCCCTTGTTTTTTAGTGTGCAAAACAGAGCTTTGGGGCCCTCCTATTTTGAGACATCCCTAAGTGTACACTTGACGTAAATTCCAGCCTTTCACCAAAAGTAACTCCATGAAGAACATGTTTTGCCCATGATGATGTCAGAAAAGCTTACAACAGAAATACCAAAGACCTTGTGAATGTATCAATCAACAAAAGTGATATCTATACTTCACAATGGATGTTGCATGGCTTTTTCATTTTCATTGAACAACACTTAAAAAAGTAGAACTGGAGATGTCTCAAAACGTCTGAAAATTGGTTCCCGAAACCGAAGCCTAACATGTTCAAAAACTGGTTCCACAATGGTACCTAGGAAAATGAAAGGTGCTTTAAGCCATCTTAAGGTACCTTTCATTTTTTGGAAAAATATAACATTAAAGAAATAGAAATGGAGATGTCTCAAAATGTCTAGAGCAATTATTTTATTGCAATTTCAGTATTGTACATATCTTGTTTGTGTTGTTATTTATGTGCTGCTCTTGTCCTATGATTATTTTGATGAAACTCTAAGACGTAATGTGCCTAAATATCACTGTCTATATATATATATATATATATATATATATGTATGCATTAATACGCATGTATTCAGGTGGTGTGGTGTTATTAGTCATTAGTTGGCTTGGGGTTACAGTTTTGCAAACCACACCCATTGCATGCCAACCAACCCTATAAGGTACCTTGTAAAATGAAAGGTGCTTTAAGCCCCCCTTCAGGTCCTTATTTTTTGCAAAATAAAACAAAAAATAAAAATGGGAATGTCTCAAAAATGTCTAGTGCAAATATCTGATTATAGTTTCTGTATTGTACATGTGTTTTTTCTTTTCTTATTTATGTATGTTCACCTAATGTAATTGCTCTTGCCCTATGTTTTTTTGATGACACTTTAAGGCATAATGTGACATAATGTACCCACATACTAATGTGGAGGTATATGTGTATTCATGTGGTGTGGGGTTATTATTTGGCTTGGGGCTACTGTTTTCAAACAAAACCCATTGCATGCCAACCAACCCTATTAGGTACTTTGTAAAATAAAACGGTGCTTTAAGCCCCCCTAAGGTACCTTTTCATTTTTGGGAAAAATAAAACAAATAAACATATAGATGTCGCAAAATGTCTAAGGCAAATGTTTGATTACAATTTCAGTATTGTACATGTGTTTGTTGGTGTTTTTTTAAATGTATGTTCACCTAATTTAGTTGCTCTTGTCCTAGGATTTTTTTGATGCAACTTCAAGACATCATGTACCCAAATACTGATGTGGAGGTATATATATTATATATACATGTGTGTATTCATTTGGTGTGGGGTTATAATTTGGTTTGGGGTTACTGCATTGCAAACCAAAACCATTGCATGACAACCAACCTATGTTTGGGGTTTCTATTTTGGAAACACACAGCATTCAATCAAACACAAACCATGGTTGGTACTACATGTTTATCTAAAAACCAGGCAACAATAACCTTCGTTTTTTATTTGTTTTTTAAAATGAGAAAAACACTTACAAAGAATAGTAATCCATATTTGGGGTTACTTCTTTTAAATGATCCCAACAATAGATCCCTATGTTGCTTTTATTTTTTCAACCAGTAGCATACATGAAACCTATTAAAAAAACAAAATTGAAATGAAAAACTCATTTTTTTGAAACAAACAAACATGGTTTTCAAGAAAATAAACACTATTTTTTTAAGAAAAAACACGTTTTATCTATATTTTTTGTTTACTGCCCTGAAAGTTTGTTGAAAGTTTGTTGCAAACTTTCAGTTTAACTTTCAGGCAAACTTTCAGGGGAGGTTGCAAGTTTGACTGAAACTTTCAATGCAAACTTGCAGGGCTGGATTGAAAGTTTCAATGCAAACTTTCAAGGCTGGATTGAAAGTTTAAAGAAACTTGCAGGGCTACACTGAAAGTTTGCATGAAAGTTTCAATGTAGCCCTGCAAATTTCTTTAAACTTTCAATCCAGCCTTGAAAGTTTGCATTGAAACTTTCAATCCAGCCCTGCAAGTTTGCATTGAAAGTTTCAGTCAAACTTGCAACCCCCCCTGAAAGTTTGACTGAAAGTTTGCAACAAACTTTCAACAAACTTTCAGGGCAGTCAACAAAAAATATAGAGAAAACTTGTTTTTTCTTAAACAAATAGTGTTTATTTTCTTGAAAACCATGTTTGTTTGTTTCAAAAAAATGGGTTTTTCATTTCAATTTTTTTGTTATAAAAAAATGTTTCATGTATGTTACTGGTTGAAAAAAATAAAAACAACATAGGGATCTATTGCTGGGATCATTTTAAAAGAAGTAGCCCCAAATATGGATTACTATTCTTTGTAAGTGTTTTTCTCATTTAAAAAACCAACCAGTGGTTGTTTATGCTGCAAATTGTTTTGACATGTTACACCCACCATGTCTAAATGTGTTTTAAAAAGTAACCCAAAACATGGTTTGGTTGTCATGCATTGGTTTTGGTTTGCAATGCAGTAACCCCAAGCAAAATTATAACCCCACACCAAATGAATACACACACGCACATATATATATATATATCCACAGTAGTATTTGGGTACATTATGTATTGAAGTTGCACCAAAAAAATCCTAGGACAAGAGCAACTACATTAGGTGAACATACATAAATAATACATCAACAAACACATGTACAATACTGAAACTGTAATCAAACATTTGCCTTAGGCATTTTGAGACATCTATATGTCTATTTGTTTTGTGATTTCCCAAAAAAATGAAAAGGTACCTTAAGGGGGCTTAAAGCACCTTTTTATTTTACAAAGTACCTAATAGGGTTGGTTGGCATGCAATGGGTTTTGTTTGAAAACAGTAGCCCCAAGCCAAATAATAACCCCACACCAAATGAATACACATATACCTCCACATTAGTATGTGGGCACATTATGTCACATTATGCCTTAAAGTGTCATCAACAAAAACATAGGGCAAGAGCAATTACATTAGGTGAACATACATAAATAAGAAAAGAAAAAACACATGTACAATACAGAAGCTATAATCAAATATTTTCATTACACATTTTTGGGGCATTCCCATTTTTATTTTTTGTTTTATTTTGCTAAAATAAAAAAGGTACCTTAAGGAGGGTTTAAAGCACCGTTCATTTTACAAAGTACCTAATAGGGTTGGTTGGCATGCAATGGGTTTGGTTTGCAAAACTGTAACCCCAAGCCAGCCAATAACACCACACCAAATGAATACACATATATCTCTACATTAGTATTTGGGTACATTATGCCTTAAAGTTTCAAAAAACCTAGGACAAGAGCAATTACATTAGGTGAACATACATAAATAAAACAAAAATAAAAAGCCACATGTACAATACTGAAACTGTAATATGTTTTTTTTGCCACATATACCACCACTGATTATTGATTGAATACATATATATATATATACATAATGTATATATATACTATTGTTTTGTTCATTTATTGTTTTTTGTTATTCATTCTTTATATATATATACATATGTTTTATTTTTCTAATTATATATTTGTTTATCTTGTTAATGTTTTTGAACACGAACCACTTCTTAAAGTCGCAGCATATCTGTAAGTATTGTTTTCCATTATTGCATGCATAGGACAAATATTCATTTCACAAAAACATATTACCATCCAAAAAAAAGAAAATCTCATGCAGCACCTTTGTGAATGATAAATAGCACAATGGTTGGTTGATACATGCACGAGGTCTTTGGTATGTGGGCTACTTTTTTGGTGAAAGGTGGGAAAATATGTCAAGTGTACAAGTGCATTTACCATCCATGTAGCACACTGGTGCTCAAGATTGAAGTTACTTGTCACTTGTCGCCCCTGTTGGTAACCTGATGCTATGCTTGCTTTTTGCCTCCACCTGAACCAGCACCAGAATCTGTAGAACAGGCTTCTCCAGAAGAAACTGCCCCATGAGCTGACTTAGATTCTTAGATACTGCAGCACCAAAGGCAAAGGCCAAAGCCTAGGTGAAAGCAAAATCTAAAGTCAAGGCAAAGGCAGCAGGTAAAGCCAAGGCTGCTGCCAGCAAAGCTCCTGGGGTTACTTCTTCGCCAATGAAAGCTCAAAAGGCAAAAGCCAAGAGCACAATGAAGAAAATCCTGACAAGACCTGATGCAGCTGAAGGCGAAAGCCAAGGCCAAAGCGAAGACTGTCAAGGAGATGGCAGCAGGATGGAAGAAGACCAGGGATGAGCCAGTTCCTGATGACCATGCAGAAGGAGAAGATGAGGAGCCTAAAGAGGAGGATGCAACAGTTGCTGATGATGAGCATCGAAGCTACCCCAAGGTAAGGAAATGTGCCAGAATGATCAAAAGTGGTCAGGTGCCAGAAGATCTTCAGCAGCTCTATGAAGAGGGCTCCAAGAATTCTCCTCCCCCAAGGTTATTTAAGAGTCAATTCATCAACAAAGTCTTTCAGCAGAACACCAGTGGCGAGTTTGCTTTTGCTCCTGGAAATACCCAGTGCGAGGTTTTCAAGAAGAACTTTGAGATTTGCACCAACAAATCTCAGGTTACTGGGTTGCCTCACTCCATCATGTCGTGGAAAAAATCCAGTGAAACCAGCAAGCTTTGAATGAGCAGAAAGACGAGGTGATGTCTATCAGAAAGATGGTTACTATCATGTCAGGACAATAGCCACAGCCATTGAGAAGAAGCAGGGCAGTTCCATGGTCTTGCATGGTGGCCAAGCCAACATCACCAAGGATGAGTTATTGGCAGATAAGTCAATTCATGTCGAGCAGGCCCTGGAGCCAGCTTGGCACTGGAGCTAGTTGTGGTGGTAGTGGTAGTGGTAGTTGTGGTAGTGGTAGCAGTGCTTCCTCTACACCAGCTGTGGTTACTTCATCCTCAGCATTGCCAAAAGCGATTTGTGATGCTCCTGTGAAACTGAGCAGGGCAAGTGCTCCCAGGAGCGACTGGGCAGAGATTGTCAAAGACCGGCTGTCAAAATCTTTTTTTTGACAAGAAAGACCAAAAACTCAATTATACTTTGATGGATGTCCTCACCGAGCTTTCAAAGACAGAATGTATGCTTGGGGTTACTTCATTGTAGCTTTGATGTTGCATAACATATCTTCAAAACATCCAATCAGATTTGATCTTCACAAATAAAAACTTTGATTTGCTCAAACAGGTATAAGTTCAAACAATATAGTTTTTTGCACTTCCAGTAATCATGTAGGACTGACTTCACACAAAATCAAGAAACATATTGTTAAAAAACTTTTCAAGCAATTGATAATGTTCACTTTACTATGGTACAATGTTAAGAAAATATCTAAATTCATAATCTTTTTTCCATGAAAAAAAGGCAAAATTTCAAGGTAATTTTTGAGGGTATTTTTTTAAACCCCAAAAATTACCTTGAAATGTACCCTTAAAAATTAACTATGTAGTTAAAAAGAAATTAACTATTTTTGTTTCCTTAAAAATAAACTATTAGTTAGAAAATTGCCTCCAAAATCACTTTTAACTATTTTGCTCCAAATAACCTTGCCTGACCTATAGGGTACTTCCAACGATGATGGGAAGGGGAAGTCAAAATGTCGTTTCTGGGGGAGCACGGCTGGTTGTCGCCGAGGTGAATCTTGTGCTTTTGAGCACTCTTGGGACGGCATCCAACGAAAGGGTCGATGCTGGAATTGTTCCGGTGAAGGGCACATGAAACCTGAATGTCCTCACCTCAAACAGAAAGAATATGGTCAACGTGACTCCTCTGGGTCTCCCACGAAGATCTCCAAGGTGAAGGATCAGAAGGGTGGCAGTCCCAAGAACACAGGTCATGGAAAAGGTGCATCAAAGGGAACTATGACGTCTTCACCAACGACGCATTTGCCGAGTTCTTCACATGGGTCTACGGCGACTTCATCGTCTTCTCATGGTGCTTCTGAGGGGAAGTCCAAGGTGGTGATTGAGGAGGTCAAGCCTGCTGTCCCTGCTGCTCTGGTGTCAGACCTGAGTGGGCTTGTGAAGTCTCTGCAGAGCCTGAAGGCAGTTCACTTGAGGTACATCGAGTCCAAGGCCAATGGTGTTTTTCCTGGAGGTGACCAAAAGCTGGCGTTGCTTGACGGTGGAGCCACTCATGGGCTACGTCGAGGACTGCCTCACGAACTTGAAGGTGCTGAAATGGTGACTGTGGAACTTGCTCATGGGAGTACGTCCCTGTTCCGAAAGGCTGGATGTAGCACGTTGTTGGCGAAGGAGGAGGTGGAACCAATCATCCCTGTCCGTCAATTGATCGAGACCGGCTACCAGCTCAAGTGGAGTTCCTCTGAAGTTTCCATTTGGCATCCCACAAAGGGATCTATCAAATGCTGGCGACGTCAAGGTTGTCCAGTCATGGATCGAGATGATGGTCTTGCTCTTTTACAAATGTTGGAGGACGATGAGGCGGCGACCCAAATTGGTCAAGAAATTCGAACTTGGTGGAAAGAACGATACCCACAGGTTCCTGACGCTGTCATCGGCTTCATGAAGGGCCAGTTCACAGACTGGAAAAACTGTCCTCAAGGATTACCTTGGAATCGTCGGAGACGTAGGCAGCTGGAATCGGCCAAAGCCATTGTCCTGCACCTCTTCTCTGGGGATAAGGAATCGAGCAGAAAGTGGTTGGAGTTGCAGAAGCTGGGCTACGAGGTGATCACCTTGGATGTGGCTGCAAACAGTGCCGAAAACCTGCACTCACCAGCTATCTGGAGTTACCTGATGATGTTGGCTCGCAAGGGCTCACTGAGAGTCTTGTTGGGTGGGCCACCATGCAGAACGTTTTCAAGGCTTAGACACAAGCCACCCGGCCCACGACCGGTGAGAGGTAGAGCTGAAAACAGATGGGCTCTCCCTGACCTGAATGTGTTGGAAGCCGAAAAGGCTCATGGAGATACAGCACTGGTCCTGAAAATGGCGGCCCTCTACGAAACGATGGAGGAGAGTCAACCAGGAGCCAATGGGTTTCTCCTCGAGCACCCTGAAGACCCGTGCGCGTACCTTGGAGAACAGGAGTCCAGGGAAATGCCAAGCGTGTGGGAGTGGCCAGAACTTAAGGCCTTCGCGGAGAAGTTCAACATGAAAACAGTCTCCTTTGATCAAGGAAAATGTGGGCACAGCCGACGAAAACCAACCAACCTCCTGATGAACTTGCCAGGTATGGATGAACTACAGGGGTTGCTCTGTGGGAAGAATGAGAAGGGCATTGAGCCGCTTGCTGCAGATCTTCCACAACGTCTCAAACAGACCTCTTCCTGGTCGTCATGGGCTCCGGGGTTGACACAGGCTATCAAGGAGTCAATCAAACAGATGCCTGCGGCTGGCCTCAAACGTTTGTCTTTGGATGAGTGGCGACAGCATTTGAGGCAGAATCATACGCCTTATCGCCGTGATTGTCGTCTCTGCATGCAAGAAATGGGTGCTGGAGAACCACATCGACGTCGAGGTCCTCACCACAATGGTGAATCAGCCTACGTGTTGTCGGTTGACATCACTGGTCCACTTGTGAAAGGATGGGACTATGGAACTGGCCGTCAAGCCAAATATGCGCTGCTTGCTACGGTGCCGATTCCTGTCGTGGATGGTCAACTACATGCTGAAGGTGATCAACCTCCTTGTGATGTTCTTCCAGGTCCTGAAGTTCAACGTTCAGAAGAAGTTCAACGTGCTGGTCAAGTTCCACGTCCCGGTGGAGGTGACAGCCCTAAAGAATGCCTTCCAGGTTCAGGTGCTCATGGTGAAAAAGTTCATGCAGGCCCTGTCGAACCTGTTCCGTCAAAAGGTGATGGATGTGATGATGAAAAAGATGATGGAAAACCAGGTGATGCTCTTCCAGCTGACCCTCTTGCTCCGCTACCAGAATTGGGGGGAGATGTCCCAGACCCTGAACTACCTGAAGGAGAAGATGGGGGATTTAGTGAAGATCAGAAAAAACTGGGGGAGAAGCTGAATAAAAAATGGAGAGAGCACATGGAAGAAGCCACCGCTCCCTTCAAGATTCAGAATGTCACCTTGTTTGAACCTTTGGGCAGCCGCTCTACAAGCGAGTTAACTACCTGCTTTGGACAGAGTTTGGGTGCGCTTTCGTGCATTGGGCATCCCAATGGTCAGATTGCACTCTGATCGCGCCAAAGAGATGCTGGCGAAACCTGTTCGAGCATGGGCAGGCCGCAGAGGTTTGTACCAGACCTTTACCTCTGGCGATGATGCTCCTGCCAACGGAAGAATCGAAAGTTAAATTTTGCAGTTCAAGCGACGGCTGCGACTGACACTGCAGTCTTCAGCTGCGAAAACGGAGGAATGGCCTTCAGTGGCACGGCACTCTTCTGAGGAGCGCCTTCGAGCTCAACTTCAAAAAGTGGGACTACGGCAGCATGCTATGCTACAACGTGCGGGTGTTGGTCAAAACGAAGCTTTGGCACAAGCGCTTCACCCAGGGCATGGCGAGTCCGTACTTCCAGGCCACTTTGAAGGGACCAAGTCCTCTGATGCACCATGGATGGGTGGTCCAAACTGACAAGGGCCTCATCCAACATGCCAGGTCTGTTGTGACCACTGACCCAAATGCCGAGCGTGCGATGCTGGAACTTGTTGGTGACCCAATGCGGCCAGTTCACCGTATGGTTGGAAAACAGCCTGTGGCCGGTGACCAGGTAGAGCCTCCAAAACTGATGGATGAAACCAAAAGAGATGGCCCTGACTCAGTGTCAGCTGAAGGGAGGTTAGGTATTGAAGGTCAGGTTCCAGGCTCCGTGCCTGCGGAAGGAGGTGATGGTGAAGGAACACAGTATGAACCTAGCATCTATGATGGTGATGAGCCTGTAGAGCGCATGGAAGAGGTGGAGAACCCTGACGTGAATGACATTTGGGGGGAGGCCCATGGTCCGGGGGAGCCCTCTGCTCTTCGAGCTTTTCATGGTGATGATGGTGAACCTATGGTGGTTCCGACCAACTTGGTCGGGGGGGAGTCCAGGTGCTTTTCAACCGCACAAACCGCACAAACAACACGAGATGTCGATGCTGGAGCGACTTTGGAATCTATGTCGTCTTCAAGTTCAACATTGCGGGCGAGCACATCAAGGTCTACTCCTTCAACCTTTAGTGCAACTTCAACTTTGGGTCCAAGCTCAACCTTGCCAAGTATGAGAGGAGTCACAACGCCTCCCAATGGATGGTGATGAAGGTGGTCGCCAAGGTCACTTGATGAAGAACCTCAAGGTTCATGTCGGCGTCTTGGAAGAGGAGTTGGATGTAGTGAACAAAATGGTAGTTGAATGTGAGGAGCGAAAGTGTCTGCTGGCTGCGCTCAACCTCAACGATGTGGAAGACGCCGAGAGCGATCAGTTTGAGATGCCTGTGGAGCCAAAGATCCTCCAGACCCAAACTGTGCCTCTGAATGAAGTTATGGCCAATCTTCCGGAGTGGGTTGATGCACTTCGAGCTGAATATATGAGCTTGACCGAGGGCACCAATGCCATCAAGCCTGTTTATAAACGGTGGGACATATGGTGGTCTACGTCGATGACTTGTTGATCACTGGATCCACTGAAGTGATTGACGCCACGCTCAAGAAGGTGCAGGCACGTTGGAAGTGTAGCGACCCTGAGTGGATGGCACCCGAAGGTCAAAAACCTATGACCTTTTGTGGCTTCGAGATCAAGAAGGGTCCCGATGGTGAAGTTGTGGTCACTCAGTGCAGAGGAGCTGACTAGGCGGCATGGCATCAAAAAGACAAGGCCTACGCCGATGTCGAGCTCTTTGGTGATTCCTGAGGAGCCGGAGGACTTCACTCGTGAACAACTGCGAGAAGCACAGGCTGTGACTGGTGAGCTGCTGTGGCTTTCCATTCGGTCCAGGCCTGATTTGAGTTATGTGACAGGGCTTATGGGTCGGATGTCAACAAAGAATCCTGCCTTTGTCTGTCAAGTTGGCCAAGAAGCCATGGAATACATCTATGGAACTCTGGATGTGGGTTTGGTCTATGGACCTCTGGTTCCGAATTTTGGGCCAGAGGATTGCCTCCCTTTTGCAAGGGGTATGACAAGGGTCGAGGTCTATGCTGACGTCTCCTTTGCTCCGCAGTCTTCCAAGAGTGTCCAAGGTGTGATCGGGCTGTATGGGGGTGCTCCAATACAGTGGCTGTCGAACCGGCAGGGGTGTCTGACTTTGTCAACTGCAGAATCAGAGCTTCTCAGCTACATCGAGGCGATGTCAGTTGCCGACGCCATTGGCTGCATCATTTCCATTTTGGAGGAGATCCCGATCGAGTTTGACAAGAATGATGAAGATGATGATGAAGATGAAGGAGTCACACAAGCTCCTGATGAGGACTTCGCAGGTGGAGGTGGAGATCAACTCCAACGAGTGATCTATGGGGATAACCAGGCCGCAGTGTCGGTGTTGAGCTCTCCGGATGGACCTTGGCGTACGCGCCATCTGCGGTTGCGCAGTCATGTCCTCCGCCAGAGGCTTCAGCACAAGCTACGCTGGGCTGTGCGACATCTTCCTGGAGCTCTGCTGAGCGCTGATCACCTCACCAAGGCGGTGAACCCTCGAGCGAGGTGGAAGATCTTCTTTGACTTCATGCAGATGGTGCGCAGCACAACTACTGCTCCGGTTGTCGAGGAGGACACCAAGCACGTCAAGGCGCTGGTGTTGAAAAATGAACTGACAAAAATAACCGCTGCAGGGTTAGGGGCTGTAGCACTTGCCACTTTTACCCCAATTCCTGGTTCGGATGATGAAATCCAAAAAGGGGAATTGATGAAGGGGTTGAGTGAATATATAAGGGGAAAAATAGATGGGCTGGTAAAAGGGGGTAAGATAGAAGGGTTTGAAAACCAGGGTTCAACCAACCAAAACACCCAGGGTTCTCAAAACGCTGCTCCCGAAGCCATGAATGTTTTTTCAAGTGAAATGTGCGATGAACGCTCCTGGCGAACTTGTCGCAACTGCCATGGGTCTCTTGAAGGACCTACCTGATGAGCGATGGGGTGAAGAAGTACCACAACTGCGGGCAGTGCTGGCCGAGGATGACGGTTCTTGGGAATGTCATGACGGTCGGGCTCCGCAACCATGTGACAGTGTATGTGGTGACGATCGGGCTCCGCCACCATTTGATGAAGTATGTGGTGACGGTCGGGCTCCGCTGCCAGTGCATGGAATGGCCTATGACGGGGCTCCGCTACCTGAAGGTGAATGTCCTGATGGTCGGGCTTCGCAACTACAACATGGAGGATGTGCAGACGCTCGGGCTGGGGCACTATGTGGTGATCTTCCAGGCGACGGTCTTCAAGATGATGTGGAGTCTATGTCACTGCCAACAAAGGTGACGGTGGATGATCCTCAACACGGGATGTACCCTGGCTGGCCGGGCCGTGGCAAGGGGACCGGGAAGCCAAATCCTTGGTCGCAGCCGCCGCCACCGCCGCCACCGCCGCCACCGCCACCGCCACCAAGGGTCGGTGGGGAAGGGATGTTCCGACCTTTTCCAGCTCAAGGACTACCTGGTGGAGCACAGGGGCAGTTCTATCGACCTGTCCGGGTAGAGCTCACCGTGGGAGGAGTGCCAATGGTGGGATACCGCCAAGGGATCCCTGGTGTGGACTACTCCATCGAGCTCACAATGCGAAAAACTGATCAACCAGATCAACGTCCTGCAGCTGAACCACCAATAGTGGGAAAAATTTGTGTTACAGCGACTGGGCCGTCTTCGGCAAGTGCTGGGGCTTCAAGTGCGAGTTCAAGGGCTCCTACAACGGAAAATCCTGGGGGTTCAACCGCAAGTTCAAGGGCTCCTGCAACAGAAAGCCAGGCAACTGCGGCCAGTGCATCAAGTGCTCCTGCAACAGAAAATCGGGCCAATGCGGCCAGTGCACCAAGTGCAAATCCAGCATACTCCAGACTGGGAGTTGTGGCTGAAAGGGTGATGCCTGACGGGAGTAGGGTCATTTACAGAAACCCCAGGGAGACCTATTACGAGAACGTCCCACCTCCAACGTCAAGTGCATCTGCGCCCACTGATCCGCCGACTGTTGACTCACCGGGTCCTGGTGAACCAGAGCCAGAGGCTGAGGACCTCACGGTGGAAGAAACGTCGTCTGATGTCGAAGTGGTGCGTCCAACGAAGGTGATGAGAAAAGATGGAAGTCATGGTGCCGCACTACCTGCTGAACTTTGCCATCAAGATTGGGCTCAGCATCTATGTGATGGAGGGCTTCAAGATTCAAGAGAATGTCATGGCGGTCGGGCTTGGCAACCACCCGCTGGAAAAGATCATGGTGTCTGCGTATGTCTGGACGCTCGGGCTTGGCATCTTCATGATGGTGAATGTCATGGCTCTGGTGTATGTCTTGACACTCGGGCTGAGCATCTTCAAGGATGTGTATGTCTTGGCGCCGGTGAATGTCCTGACATTCGGGCTTCGCAACTATGTATGTGGCGACGCTTGGGCTCCGCTGCTGTGCTGTGCGACCTGCCACCTTTGGGCTCCGCGACCATCTCTTGGGCTTGCTCCGCGACCATCTCTTGGGATGACTACCGATGGTTGGGCTTGTGATGGTGATGAATGCGGTGGAGGAGGTAGCGATGATCGGTACGATGATCAGTACGATGAAAAGTACGATGATGTGGGGCTACTTCATGGACGAGCTCTACAACCTCTTTGTGGTGAAGCCTTGCTGGGCTTCAATGGTGCTGCAAGGGACACGCCTGGTCCCGAGGGAGCTGAAACGCTGGAGGAGATCTATGGCTGTGATTGGGCCGCTCTACTTCCTGGACATCAAGGACCAGCTGCTCTTCTTGGCCGTGGGCATCTGCCCTCTTGCATGCGGCCTGTCTGGCCAATTTTGAATGAGGATCACATCTGTGAGGTTGGGAAAAATGGTTGGCATATGACTGACCCCCAACGCTGTCCAGGATGTTCAACTGTTTTTGGGCTTTTCTCATCCTCATGCAGATCCTTGTAGCTGTGTAGCTAATGCGAATGGTAGTGAAAAAAGGGCTGTGCCCTACAATGTGAAGCCTCAAGGGGTTTCGGAGCTGATTGGTGCCAAGGAGAACTCCGACAGTTCTCAAATCAACAGCCTGACTGGCGATCAAATCTCCAGGCATCAATCGGGTCCAGTAGGACCAAAAAATGACGAGTTTTTGCAGGGTTCGGGTGCCCAGCTGAAGATCCAAGTCCGTAGTGTGAACACTAGCCTTGAAGGGTCAAAATCTTCAGCTGGCGCTGAGAGCCAAGTAGCCGTAGCACCGGTGGAAGGCATGTCTGCCTACGGTGGTAGTTGTAGTGGTAGTTTTGTAGCTGCCATGCTCTTCGCTCTGCCGACGTTGGTGACGGGACAGCCTGGTGATGGTGGTCGCCGTGACCAAGACGGAGACTTTGGGGCATTCCTGTTCTTCTTCGTGCTGCTGGCGGGCTACACTGCGATGGTGATTTTGGGAGTGCTGGCATGCGTCTGGTGCCAACAGCTCCATGGAGAAAGACGACAGGTTGGAGGGAAGGGCGCTGGCAAAGTGCGCAACTACTCCAATCGAGAAATGAATGAATTGTATGGGAACGACGTGGCCAACATCCAATACAGCGATGAGGAGGCGATGCCGACTCCAAGACTGAGGAGAAGGAGGACCACTGGGAGCTCTTCACGGGGTTCTGGTGATGGTCGAACTACGTCGCCGGCCTTCTCGGAAGCGGACGGGCCGCCAATCCAACACCCGAAGAGGAGGATGACATGCCTGCCATCCCCGAGGACTACGTGCCTACGCCAAGTACTCCTGACCACTGGGTGCCGATGAGCACGCGCATCCAAGAGCGACGTGATCGAGCTGAAGATGCACTACATGGTGGAAAGGGGAAGGGAAAAGAAAAAGGAAAAGGAAGGGGGGGAAGAGAGATCTTCCGGCCTGGCCAAGGGGCGCGACTTCGCCCGGCTACGCCCTCTCCTTCGGTCTGCCTGGCCGAGGAGAGCCAAGAAGAGACTTCAGTGGCCTCCACGCCGGGGACTGCTGACGTCACGCCTGATGAGGAGGAGGAGGAGGTCGACCCGGCCATTCCGTTCCCTCATGGAGCGAAAGCACCTCCGGCAGCCTGGATGCAAGGACAACGTCCACCAGGGCGGCCGCAAGCTTTCCCGCAACAGCAGGGCCTACAAGGGCCTCAAGCGATGCAGCAGGGGCCAATTGGGCCTCAGCCACAACATGAACTTCAAGGAGCTGAAGGGGCGACGCCAAAAGCCGCTCCGGCTACAGAAGGGGCGACACCAAAAGCCGCTCCGGCTGCGGGCAGCACGGCATCACAGGCCGTTTATGCTGCTGCTGCTGCCGACGATGAACCTCGTGGGGGCGACCAGGCAGAGCCAGCTGGCGAGCCAGGTTTGCCAGATGATGGGCCACGGCGGGGTGAGTCAGACGAAGTACCCCGGCCGACCATCTTCACAGCCGCTTTTGGCACGGTCTATCACGTGAGGCCGAGCTGCGGAAAATTGAAATGCGCCTCGCGCATCTACAGGCATGAAGCCTTCACGCCTTGTCCCTGTGGACCGCTACAGCGTGGTGGGATGGTCTACATCCTGGATAACAAGTACCACACGGTGAATCATAGCAGATTCCCAATGTCAAGGAGGCCATGTACTGAGTGCGCCGGCTGATTTTAGAGATTGGCCAAGTTGGCCAAGGGGGAGTGCGTTTGGCACTGTGCACATGCAAGCAGCATGGACCCCTGCAGGATGACACGCACAACCATGTGCTCTGACACTTTTTCATGGCTCAAGAAATAGGAGCTGTCGTCATTGGGCAGGTGTCTTGGGGACCTAAAGGGTTGCTCTAGCACTTAAGACCCATACCCGAAGCCCCCGTTCGTAACCGCAATTTTAAACAACTATATAAATAAGCGGTAAAATCAGTAAAAAGCAAGTATTGTCCGCAAACATCCGCAAACTACTGTTAATCACCCGGAAAGTTGGTGATAATGGCATACAATGGCTGTATGGATCTTGTTTGAAAAGCTTGGTGGATTTCAGTGGTTCTGGGAGACGACACCGCCTCATTCAGCGAAGATCCAGATCCTGTAGAGCATGGACATCCAATCCATGAGAATATCATGTCACAGACCAAAATCCGGGCGAGGAGACCCGGGGTCAAGACTGGTCACAATCTTGGTATCCCGTGACTGAGATGACCGCCAACGATTCTTTCACGGCATCGACAGAAGAGCAGAACCTGTAGACAGTTTTGCCCGAAGCTCGGCGTTTGGGGATGCTTAGAAAAGTGGCAGTGGATGTGCAGTCAACTACGTTTGAGAGATATGTTTTTGACTGAGGGAAGAGGTAGAGATGTCCCGGTTGCCGTTGTGTAGTACGAGATGCTCAGCCCTGCAACATTCATACAGTGGTGTCCTTGGAGTGCTTTGGTGATCTTTTGATGGTGTTTTGCTGGTGTCTTGCTGGTGGTGGTGGTGATGGTGGTGGCGATATTTTGGTGTTGCAGTGGTGTTTCAGTGGTGGTGTTTTGCTAGTGGTCTGGTGTTGTAGTGGAACTTTTGGTGGCGGTTGTGTTTTCGTGAGCATGTTTTTGCCAGCGGCATGTTTTCCGCGCACATAGTCGTACTCATTTTTACAGCTCTCCATTTTCCACGGTTTGTTTCCTTGCTCGCATGTTCATCATGTTCATGTTGTGTTGGGGGGGTTGGGGGGGGTTGGCATGATGACGTTCAGTTTAATTTGTACTCAGATGCACGAACCATGGTTTCTTCTACCTTGATGTCCACGTCAGTTGAATGTCTTCCGTGATATTGTGGCTTAAGTTTTGTTGGGCAATGTGGCCTCTGCCCGAACCAGGTCACGTTTTTTCTGTTAGTGTCGGCTTGTCTTTTGTTCTTTTGTGTCGTTTGTCTCGGGTTCCTTGTCCTTTGTTTTGTTTGGAGTTAAAACAGGGGATTGTGGCAACTTCCCTTGGGTTACGTGGATTCTCACCAAGAATCTTTTTGTTCGGTTTTTTCTGGACCAGATCTTTGTTGGGCCTCTCAAGTTGTTTGTGGTGATCCAGCTGCTGCTTTTCCTTGGTTACTTGTGTTGAAACACGTTGAGGCTTTGTCTCGTTTCTGGTTTGCCGTTAGTCGTTCTTTGCCTTCGTCACATCTAGTCACCGTTTGATGAAGCACGCACGCGTTTGGCAATGGAGGTGGCGCCATCATCAGACTTCTTTGGCGTTGGCCCTGGGCAAAGCCTTGGCAAACTTTTGAGCGCGGCAGTTCGCGCGCAAAAAAAAAAATCGCCGCGGTGGCAAGCAAACTGATGTCAAAATTGGTGACAGATTTTTGGACATAAATGGCTTCTTGAAGGAAAATGACGTTCAGAAAAATGATAGTTTCGCTACAGTGGCAACCACATTTTTGCAACTTGAGAAATGTTGCTGATTGAAAGTGGGCGTCACTATAGGCGCGGTTTCCATCCCGCCGGGATGTTTTTTGCACTGGTGTTGTTCGGGTGGTGTTTTCTGGTGGTGCTGGTGTTTTTGTTGTGGTGTGTCTGTGGTGGACTCGTGGTACGTACGCCACAAGATGTAAATCGCAGACTCACAAACAGGAATGAAACCATTCCAGAAGCATACGCAAGGGAACAAGAAGCGTGCTTCAAACCATGCCAAAACACACCAGCGGCATCCAGCATAGAGACAGGAAGAATAGCATACCAGAAGCACACCAGAAGCATACCAGAAGCGTCCACACAGTAACGCGAAGCATACTAGAAAGGTACAGACGGAACAAGAAGAATACCACACACATCCAAAACATATTTGCAGGAACAAGAAGCATGCCAGCGGCATACAGACAGGAAAATAGTTCACATGACAAGCATGCAATACACAGCAAGAAGGATGTTAGAAGCATACACTACTTTCCTCCCAGCTTAGCTTTCGTTCACCACCCTTGGGCCTCAAGTTGTTAAGTCTTGGCTTCCTTGGGCTAGGATTTGTGCTGGTGACCCATTCCAGCACATCCCAAATGCGGAAGCTGCGACCCAGTTGTATATACAACGCGCATTTATTGACTCGATCCCCTCGAGCTGTGCAGGCTACGCACCAAGAGTGGATTGGCGAGGCTCAGGCAAAGGATCGCCAGGGAGCCAAGAAGTCAGGGACTGATCAAGCGACTGGCTAGATAAGTTGGAACAATCTGGGCAATCTAATATGTTTGCTCGGATTTTCTAGGGCAAACCATCGCCAACAAACTAGTCGTTTTTTTGCTACATGAATATGTCTCAAAATGATTCCAAATGTATCAACATGTAGGTTTTTTCAACGCTCCCCAGCCATGATGAGCACCTTTTAGATCCCACGAACATATGCCCTGCCTTTGGGATTCTGTTTTTTTACCACTTCTGAAACCACTAAAAAACCAAAGCCTTGGCCAAAAGTTCAAAACAAAAAGGGTAGGGCCCGCCTGATGTGCAGGTGACACCTCCTACACCAAAGGTCTCTTGCTGGTGGCGACTCAGCTGCACATTTTCGACCACTTTCCGAGATGTTCAGCTTGGCAAAAGGCAAAAATGGTTTTCACGCATCTTTTGAGCATCCAAAACTCTTTTGCCCAGAAGGTAGGCGGGGCCTCAAAGTTAAGTAATCGGTTGAATTTCCTATCGAGGTGCCTGTTTTGAAACAGAGCCTTCAAGGGCGCAATGTTCTTTGGTTTGTATGATACTTGGGTCTATTTGGCAGGTTTCTTGCTTCAGAAGAAAAAAACAACGTTCCAAACGGGTGTAATCACGCGGTCCCGACAGCAATCAAGAAAGATATTGTGTTTTTGTGTGGTGATTCCTTTCCACTTCAGCAGCTTTGAAACATCGAACCATTTTTCCCCACATTGACGTGTGGGGTTTTTGTTTTTAGTTCTGTATCCGCTCCTCCTTCCCGTCCTCCCTCCTCAACACTCACTCACTCACACACACGCACTCACACTCACTCACTCACACACACTCACTCACACTCACTCACACACACTCACTCACACTCACTCACACACACACACTCACTCACTCACACTCACTCACACTCACTCACACACACACACTCACTCACACTCACCCACACTCACTCACACTCACTCACACACACACACTAGACAAGAATGGATCATTATATGATCCGGCAGGAACTGAATCCTGAAACATGCAAACCAGCCTAGATTATTTGATGAATAAAAGAGCCACATGAGGTACTTCTCGAAAACGATGTAGGGCATCCGAAATTGTCAAACGTAGTCATAACCAGATTCCATAGAGTTTTGACCAGCATGTTGAAATCCAAAATGATGTTTCGGCGATTGTTTCCCAAAATAACCCATAGTTCGTCGGCGACAGGATCTCGGCGAAAATAAGTCAAAAAACATAATACTGTCGGCGATATGGTTTCGGCGAAAATCTGAGGAAGGTTCTGATGCATGCAATACAGATTGTGGCAACCGTGTAGAGTCGAAACAACGCAGTGTAACAGCTTGGTCAACAGTTCAAACTGAGTTTTGCAGGTACAAGTGGTTGATCAGACCACTCATCCACCGAAATGCCATAGCTTCGTTGGACTGGATAGGCAAATCGGCTCCAGTCCCCCTGCAAATTAGTGAAAACCAATCAGAAGTTTTACATCTGTTCAGATGATACACACACACACACACCTCGCATGTAGCGAGGTCGGTTTTTTGGAAGAACTTCGCTGGCGGAATCGGCAAGACACCAGTGAAAGTGAACCTGTAATAACCTAATGTACAAACGGGCGGTCACTTCAGTCAGAAGAGGAATTCGGAGCTTGTAGAAGGACTTCCATAGCATCGTGGAAGCTCATGCGTTCAACCATCGCCCAAGTCTGATCGAATTCCCCCGATGCCGTAGCAGCCTTCAAGGTGTCAGATAGATCTTTGGCTAATTCATAGATCCGGGTGGTCAGCCTGGGTTCATCTCCAGGAGATGTCGTCTCAATGGGCACATTGTGAAAAGGATGGTGTCCATGTACAAGGGGAATCTCAAAATGATGTCGCCAATAGTCCGCTGTGCGCAGGGACCACTCCCAGTTTCCGGAGAGACCATAGAAATAGTGTTCAGGGTCACGACATCGGGAATGCCCTAACAAAGGAATTTCTTCAATGAATAGCTCCCTGGTGTTGTTGGAGTGGGTAATGACCTTGAATTGGATCTGGTGAACCACGCGAGAAGAGAATTGAGCACGATGGAGGTAGTTGTGTGTAGAACTTGACTCCGTCGGAAATGGAACGCCAGGAGGTGCGGGTCCTGAATATGTATCAGAATGGGCCAGGGTACCCGTAGCAGGTGCCGTACTGTCAGTTACCAAAGGTGCTGGAGTAGGGTTGGTCGTAGTGTCGGGAGCTCCTGAATGACATAGTGCAGAAGTCGAGGCGTCTGGTACTTGAACTGGGTCGGTAGGAGCGAGTCCACGAGTAGGGTTCGAAGGCCAAGACAAGCCCGCCACGGTCGCGTCTCGTTTGTGTTCCATGGGTGAAACTGTCACAAATACGAGAAATAGTGCAACAACGGCTGAAGCATCAAGAATTGCAGAAGAAAGCCAATCACGAAATTGATAATATTCATAAAAATGATAAAAGTGAAATCCAGTCCTCAATCAAGTGGGTCAATTGCGACGG